GTAATTTTATGTGAATGTGATGTATGGTTTTAGAGTTATGAAAGTTGGGTAGAAAGTATGTTTTAACTGTATGTATAATTGAGTTTCCTCTCAGGATAAGGGGAGGGAATATGTGGGATGTAACTGTGATGTGATTGGTTGTTTTATACCTCCCTGTGGGCGGTCCTGTATTTGCAAGACTGTAATAAAAACCAGGCTGGGTGTGCCAGCACCTCAGACCACTGCTTGACCCTCAACACGGAGCCTTGTCTCGTTCTTGGGGGGATTCACTGTATGCTGTTAGAGACTGATTGCCAGGGGTGTAAGCTGATTGTCTGCTTTTCCTGTTCGTCTGCTAGCAGCTATTTGGGAGGTTCCAGTTCGGGAGTTGGAGTGCTATTTTGTATCCAGTTCGGGAGTTTGGTGTTCTGCAGTAGCTGTGCCTGTATCTCTGGAAAGGGGGCCAATCGCCTAAACGGTGTTTACCCCTTGTGTGCAAAACGGTCCGTTACAATTGGTGGCAAGCGGCGGGATCTTTCCCACAGACAACAGGACAGCTACAGGCGACACCATTCCTTGGATTTTACAATTTGAGGGCAACGCATGTCTGAGTACAGCAACCCTGACAGCACCAGGATGGAACCAGCAGTGGTGTACAGCTACTCTAGGAGAGAGTTTGACAATATGATGGGATTGCTGCTGAAGTACTACGGACCCAATCCACCGGAGAAATCTGTGCAGCTTATAAGGAACCTAGTGTTCAAGAATCTGCAATACCGGGCAGAAAGGGAAGGTCAGCTGGCACGTTGGGAGGAACTCCAGCGACAGGTACTGCAGGGAATTGGGAGTCCAGTCTCCATTCCCCAGTGGCAGTGTGATATGCAGGGAATTGGGAGCCCAGTCTCCATTCCCCAGCGGCAGTGTGATATGCAGGGAATTGGGAGCCCAGTCTCTATTCCCCAGCGGCAGTGTGATATGCAGGGAATTGGGAGCCCAGTCTCCATTCCCCAGCGGGAGATATTGCAGGGAATTGGGAGCCTGAGCTCCATTCCCCAGCGGGAGGTATTGCAGGGAATTGGGAGCCCGAGCTCCATTCCCCAGCGGGAGGTATTACAGGGAATTGGGAGCCCGAGCTCCATTCCCCAGCGGGAGATATTGCAGGGAATTGGGAGCCCGAGCTCCATTCCCCAGCGGGAGATATTGCAGGGAATTGGGAGCCTGAGCTCCATTCCCCAGCGGGAGATATTGCAGGGAATTGGGAGCCCGAGCTCCATTCCCCAGCGGGAGATATTGCAGGGAATTGGGGAATGGAGACTGGGCTCCCAGCGGCAGGCTGAGTTACAGGGTACAGAGATAGTTGCTCCTGTCCCCCAGCTGCAGAATGAATTGCAGGGAATTGGGAGCCCAGTCTCCATTCCCCAGCGGCAGTATGAGTCATTGGGAATTGGGAGCCCAGTCTCCATTCCCCAGCGGCAGAATGATTCATTGGGAATTGGGTGCCCAGTCTCCATTCCCCAGCGGCAGAGTGTCCTACCGGGAATAGAGAGCCCAGTCTCCTTTCCCCAGCAGCAGGACTCTGTATTGGGAGCAGAGACAGTCGGTCTCCCTCCCCCACGGCTGGAAGTATATATTGGAGAGGAGCTTGTTACCCCCTCTCCCCAGCAGCAGCTTAATGTACCCGGGGGAGACAGTAAGCCCCACAACTGTGCAGATGGGACCGTGGTCTTTGCACATACAGCACAGGGGGTAGGGACGGTCGGTTCTGCCCCCCAGCGACAGGGCTGTGTAGCCAAAGGGGAGACAGTCGGTCTCCAGCAGCAGAGCTGTGTAACCAAAGGGGAGACAGTCGGTCTCCAGCAGCAGAGCTGTGTGTCCAAAGGGGAGACAGTCGGTCTCCAGCAGCAGCACTGTGTATCTAAAGGGGAGACAGTCGGTCTCCCCCTCCAACAACCAGGCTTCAACCAGGCTACCCTCCCAGTAGCGCTGGCAACAGGGCAGAGTGCCGCTGTTCTCTGCCCATGCAGCACCCCACCAAGTCAGCGTACCCGTACCCAGCACAGCCGTGGTGAGGCACCTGGACATGGACAAGCTTCTCCTCTACCCAGGTGCAGTAACCATTTATTGTGGGTGGGCTGTGCTGTTGATTATGTCTTGTGGGTGGGCTGCTTGACTAACAAGGGCACTGACCGGCAGGAGGTCAGATACCCTGTTAGTCTGTTTGGAAAAGGGGAGAGATGTGACGAGACCAATCTCGCCACATTGCATTGGAGAAGCCTGGTTGCCCGCCTGCTGCCTCTGGACTATGGCCCCCTGTTAAAAGACATCTTTTTTACCTGCAGAAAAGCTTCATTTGTGCTTTTCTGCCTGGGATTCGGTAGATTTGTTTGAATGTGTTATACCCCAGATAGGAATCCCATGGAGCCCATTCGTATGAAACTGACTGTAAAGACTTTGGCTCCATGGCGATTAAACTGTATTCGTGTGGTCTGAGCGCCATTCACTTAATAATGTGCGCTCAGACCTGAGCTATCTGGGGATATGTTCCCCTGAATGAATTGATGGTGAATATGTAATTTTATGTGAATGTGATGTATGGTTTTAGAGTTATGAAAGTTGGGTAGAAAGTATGTTTTAACTGTATGTATAATTGAGTTTCCTCTCAGGATAAGGGGAGGGAATATGTGGGATGTAACTGTGATGTGATTGGTTGTTTTATACCTCCCTGTGGGCGGTCCTGTATTTACAAGACTGTAATAAAAACCAGGCTGGGTGTGCCAGCACCTCAGACCACTGCTTGACCCTCAACACGGAGCCTTGTCTCGTTCTTGGGGGGATTCACTGTATGCTGTTAGAGACTGATTGCCAGGAGTGTAAGCTGATTGTCTGCTTTTCCTGTTAGTCTGCTAGCAGCTATTTGGGAGGTTCCAGTTCGGGAGTTGGAGTGCTATTTTGTATCCAGTTTGGGAGTTTGGTGTTCTGCAGTAGCTGTGCCTGTATCTCTGGAAAGGGGGCTGATCGCCTAAACGGTTTTTACCCCTTGTGTGCAAAAACGGTCCGTTGCATATATATATATTTTTTTTACATTGGGGTAGCCCCCAAAATATTGAGACATATAAAAAAAGAAACATTTGCGGCCTGTGGTACATTTCTTGCAGTCCTGATGCATGGAGAATAGGCCTTCAAAAGCTTCTGCTATTGTGTACATAGTTTATACCAGGGCTGTCCAACCTGCGGCCCCCCAGATGTTGCTGAACTACAACTCCCATGATTCCCTAGCTAGCTGAGTCATTGAAAGAATCATGGGAATTGTAGTTCAACAACATCTGGGGGGCCGCAGGTTGGACAGGCCTGGTTTATACTAAGGAGGAGGTAGCCAACACTGTGTGTTTTTTTTATATATATATATCTATATATATATATATATATATATATATATATATATATATATATATATATAAAAAAATTTTTAATTGGGGTAGCCCCCAAAATATTGGGACATATAAAAAAAAAAAAAGAAACATTTGCCGCCTGCGGTACATTTCCTGTTGTCCTGATGCATGGAGAAATGCTCAACTCCTCATGCATGGAGAAAAGGCCTTCACAAGCCTCTGCTATTTTGTACATAGTTTATACTAAATGACCCATAGGTTGAGGAGGTGGTGACCGTGTAGGTGGAAGCGGCGGTGGAGGAGGAGGAGATAGCCAACACTGTTTTTTATTTGTTTTTTTAATTGGGTTAGCCCCCAAAATATTGGGACATATAAAAAAAAGAAAACTCTGTTCCGCAGAGCAACTGACCCGTGCGTGCTGCAGCTGAAACTCCAATATCGCCTGCTGCTGCTCGCACAGTCTCATGAAGTGGTGAGTGGGAAGGCCGAAACAGCTCTGATATATCGGTAGTTTTTCAGGAATTTCTGCACCACCAAATTCAGCATATGCGCCGGCAAGGGATGTGCGTCAAACCGGCTAGGCCCAGAGCTGTTACGAGATTTCGCCCATTATCATACACCACTAGGCCGGGCTTGAGGCTCAGTAGCAACAACCACTCGTCGGTCTGTTGTTCCATGCCCGTCCACAGCTCCTGCGCGTTGTGGGGTTTTCCCCCCAAACATATGAGTTTTAAAACAGCCTGCTGTCGCTTTCCCCTGGCTATGCTGAAGTTGGTGGTACACTGACCGGATAAGGAGGTGGAAGAAGCTGAGTAGGAGGAGGAGGCGGCAACAGGAGGCAAAGCTGTATACCCAAATAAAGATTGTCAAACGTTGTATCCTGGAATTGTGTCCCATCCTGTTACTGGGGAAATGGGTCTGACCTATTCTAATCAAAGGGGATTACCATCGGTTACCCAGGTCCCGCTTCAATTGGTGGCAAGCCGGCGGGATCCCATGTCCCTGCCAACAGACCCATGGACTACAGTGCTCTAAAGCGACCTACACTGCAGGACTTGTGTGAAGCCAGAGGAATAACACCTGGTGGGCGTTACAAGGCTGAATTGACTGCTGTGCTCATGGAGGACAACCAGGCAATGAACCCTAGCCTGGGGCTGGAGATGAGGAGGAAGTGCGCAAGGAGGTGTAACGGTGCCTGGCATATTACCGAGAGCCACCCTCAGAGGACATTGTCAGCAGGACCTTTTTGGAGGTGCAAGCCTATGTCCTTGCCAATAGACAGAGGGCGACCTCCATGAACCCAGATGAAGGAAGAAGGGAGCAGAGGGTGCCGGGAAGCACAACCACCCTGGCCCACAAGCTACCATACAATGCCTTTAAAGAGGCAGAAGAAGGCATTGATGACTTTTTATAAGACTTTGAGCACCAGTGCCTACTCCAAGACTTGGACCCCAGTGACTAGGTCACCATCCTGGCCTGCAAACTAGTGGGGAAGGCAGCGGATATTTACCGGGCTGTACCAGAACAGCAGATCAGAGACTATCCCTTTATTACTCAAATCCTCCTGGCCCTGTTTGCGGGTCACCCCCGAGCAATACCACCGAAAGTTTAGGGAGACCCAGAAAGGGGAGAAGGACTCCCATGCGGAGTGGGCATGCCGCATCACAAGGGCCACCCAGAACTGGCTCAACTATGTCATCCATATCAACTTTCGATGCCACTTTCTGCGCCTACCATGGTGACCACGGGTAACGGGGAGTTAGGGTTCGATTCCGGAGAGGGAGCCTGAGAAACGGCTACCACATGCAAGGAAGGCAGCAGGCGCGCAAATTACCCACTCCCGATGCGGGAAGGTTGTGACGACAAATAACAATACAGGACTCTTTAGAGGCCCTGTAATTGGAAAGAGTCCACTTGAAATCCTTTAACTATGATCAAGTGAAGGGCAAGTCTGGTGCAGAGCGACTGATCCGTACGTGCTGCAGCTGAAACTCCATTATCGCCTGATGCTGCTCGCACAGTCTCTCCAGCATGTGCAAGGTGGAGTTCCACCTTGTGGGCACGTCGCATATGAGGCGGTGAGCGGGAAGGCCAAAGTTACGCTGCAGAGCAGACAGACGAGCAGCAGCAGAGTGAGAACGCCGAAAGCGCACACATCCGCTACAGTGAATGTCACATCCTGTTCCAAGTTGCAGATCAGTCTGGTGATGGCTTCTGGTATCCAGTACTCTTTTTACTGACGCTGCATCAGGGTCCTGGTATGTGCTCAACACCAGGGTTACCCTGCACCAAACCCTGCTAATCCATTCCACACTGTGACTCCTAACTTCAACATCAGGCATACTGGGTCCCGGTTGTCCTACCACCGCCCAGACAGTGTCTGGGTCCCGGTCACCGGACTGCGAAACTGCGAATGGCTCGTTAAATCTGTTATGGTTCATTTTATTGCTCCATCTGTTACTTGGATAACTATGGGAATTCTAAAGATAATATATGCCGACGAGCGCTAGGGGACGGCCGCACCGCTTTTGCACCCTGCTCCCTCTTATGCTGTGCTGGTGCCTCTGTGCGACCAGCGCCTCTTCCTCCAAACTTCACACGTCACTTGCATGACCTTGATTCCTTGTGGGGTCTAGGAACCCATCATCCTCCACATCATCGTCCACCCACTCCTCAACCCTGCCCTCCTTGCCTGTCTGCACACTCAGCAGAAAGCCACAGCAGTTGGCACCTATGTTTTTCCAGCATGTAAACTCTGCAAAGGACATATGGGAATTGTTTTAGAATTGTATCTAGGCAACAATTTTCCCTATAAACTGACCTCTCAGTTTGACTTATGAGGGTATTGCCCCGGATTACAATATTGTTATATTGGTATTTGACGGGTATTTTTTATTTATTTTTTTTATTCTTTTTATTACAGTTTTTCATGAAAGTATTAATAGACAAAGACAACAACCATGGGAGGGAATCTTACAGAAGAAAAAAAATAAGGATTCCCATCCATATTATACATACATACAAAGACAAATTTCATAAACTGGGAATACGAACATCCCCTCAGCTGCATATCATAGACCAAAAACGGCCTATACATAACCTTATAAATATGTTAAACAGAAAGAGAAACAAAGACACAAGACAAAACACAAGACAAAACTGGTCGTATGTGTGGTGTATCACCAAATTAATATATATATATTACACAAGGTTCGTCTACATTAAAAGGTATTTATTAAAAGGCAACAACACAATATTATAAATGTATCACAAACACACAGCCCAGACCCACGGAGCAACAACCCTTTTAAATCTATCTATCTATATAGTAACCCCTTCCACACACGCTTTATCTCACCCACGGTTAGGCCTTCACATCTAGTAATGGCTCACTGCTGCAAGTTCAACATCACATCCACCAAGGAAGAAAAGGAAGCAACAGAGAGTAACATGGTTCACCATGCTAGAACATGGCGTCTGCACATCTGCTCTGTAGCACAGCCAAGAAGGAACACAGAGAGGAAAGGAGAAAAGGGGGAAGTGGTTATCTCTTTCCTGACTTGTAAAGGTATTGAATTACCAATTAACATTTCAAAAGGGTAAAGCTTATCCCACTGTAACAAAAGCAAACATGAGCTTGGTCACATGACCCCTGGTCACCATATTAGTTTGACAGAATGTCACCACATTCCCTCACTTTTTCTTCTCTTCTGTTGAGCACATTTAAAAATAATAATAATTTATCCCTTCTATCTAAACTATGAGATCTGAAGTAGGAAAGGGGAGCACAGGAATTATAGTGAGTGATATAAGCAGGGTGAAAGAAAACAGTCAAATAGGGGTTGCATCACCCCACATTCCCCCACTTTTTCTTCTTTTATGTTGCTCCGTTATCTAGTTATCCCTCTAGTACAGGAAAACCTAGTGGGAGCAAAAACCTGATATACAGGAGAAATTCAACCCACCGTCCCTCCGGAATAGTTCCCTCAGCGACACGAGTTCTCCTGTACTTTCCTATGGCTGTCAATTCACATATTACACAGTGTCACAAAAAAAACAGAATTTATAGAATTTAGGTGAGTGTGTGTGTGTGTGCAATGTTAAACTTTATTGAAGAATGTGTGAGAGAGAGAGAAAAAGAGAGAGAGAGAGAGAGAGAGAGAGAGAGAGAGAAACAAAAAAGAAACAACAACAAAAAAAAAATATCCCCCTTTTCAAGTTTCTTCCTCATCTATTATAGTTTGTAGGACTGGATGTGATGTTGCAGAATTCCATACTCTCAATCCAGTTCCGACTCCTCCCAGTAGAGCTGTAAATTGTCCCATTTTCCTGACACCCTGCTTTGCCTAAAACACTGTCGCCGTTGTTCCGGACACCTTGGAGGAATAGAAGGATTATTAAAATATAGACTGTAAACCTCTCCCTTATTTGGAGTATCTTCTGGCCGTATTGCCTGTCTCCCATTCCTAATGTGATACAGCGTATACTTATCCATCCTGTAACAAGGATCCACTACGATCTTCTGTTGACACACATCATCATCCTAATACAGCTTTGCCTTGCTCTGTGGGAACACTAGATCTCATCATTAGAAAGGAATAGCTAAATGGGAGACTGTAAGACTGAGAGAAAGAACAAAACAAAAGAAAAACAAACATACATAGGATGTAGAGGATAACAAAAATTATGGGAGTTATTCATTGCTGGGGACCCCCAATTGATCAGTATTTCCCTTCCTCATCTGTTCCCTAAGCACTTTCACGTCTGCCTCCAATCTCTCAGTCTGTCTCTTTATTTCCCAGTAGTCTGTATTCCCTTCTTTATTCCTCCAATTATCCCAATTCCGTCTATTGGTCTGATGCTCATCCCATCTATGGTTCCTTTTCCAATTATTCTCCCTATAACTGTTCCTGTTGTTTCTCTGTTTTTCTTGCCAACTGTGATTTTCCGAGTTATCTCTCCTTTTTAGCCTCTCCCAGGTATTATTATTCCAATTATTATTGATTACCTTAGGCCCCTCCCATCTATTCCTCCAATTATCTCCCATTACATTCCCATGGTCCCTGTGTGGATCTCTCCATCTTTTGTCAAAGTCCTGTTTTGGTCTCCAGTTCTCATTATCCCTCTTGTTCTGGGGTACATCCCACCTCTGGCTTCTCCATTTACCATCTATATCTCTACCAGAGTCGACCTTGAATGTTCTTATGGCTGAAACAGAGAAGGCCTGTTCCGAGGAAGGATGCTTGATCCACCAATTGTCAGCTCTAGTTAGTACCATTTCTAAGTCTGCTGGTGTTGGATCAAAAAGCCTCACAAATTCTTGACACTCCAAGGGAAGGGCTTCCATTACTTTAGTAATATGTTGTGGTGAGCCCAAGACCAGAGGCTGTTGAGGTTGGCGTAGCGTATACCAGAACAATATCCTTTGAGCTACCTCTCTAGGACCATCTGCTGGCCTCATCATAATATTAACTATTTCTTTCTCTATGCTGAGTAGATAGAAAATCGTTGCAGCAATTCTTCCTGCCTGGTCAGACACACTGTTATTAAATCCAAATAGTCTGCTAGCCAAAGGACCCATAGCATATTCTAACAGTTCTGTCCATTCTTCTAAGTTAAGACCTCCTTTTTTTGCTCTATTTGCTCCCCTCATAAACCAATGTGTAAAGGTGTTAAAGTCGTCAGTTGGCATACTTCCCCACCATTTCTGGAAATTATCTTTGTCTGTGATTGACATAGTCCTTGTCTGTCTAGAGAAGCTAGTAGGCATTTCTCTTACATTAAAATGTTCAGTTATTATTAAAGGGGCTTGTGGGACACGGTTAACAACTGGCGCATTTCCTTTGTGTTTGGTTCTGAGCACTGGTTCTGTACTTTTAGATATAAAATGAGACTGGCCTGGGCATTCTTTAGGAATCTCCTTATCCCATTTATTTATGTTTTCTTTAGTTTTTATTTTATATTCCATGACAAGGTTTTGGAGTTCAGTGATCTTAGCACTATATGCATCTCTCTGTTGTTCTATTTCCTTTAATTCTTTCTCCAACCCCTCGGTCATTTTGTTTGTTCTTAGGGCAGCTATTTTAAAACAATCTCTTTCATCAAGAGCATCTTCCATTTTATTAGTGGTTACTAAATTAGCTTGCTGCAATTCGAGTACCATGCTTGCCAAACCCCCTATTGCAGCAACAACCGCTTGTGCCACCAAGCTTTTCCTTTTCTTAATATGGCACTTTTTATTAGTAACAATCTGTGTCAAAACATCCATGAAACCTTCATATTTTCCACAATTGGGGCCTGCTGGTTCTGGAAGCTCATATGGTCCATCATGTTTGTCAATGTCATTCTTGAAGTACTCTAGTACTTCTGCAGAAAAATACTTGGTACCTAGATATGACATTTTAAAACCGAGCTCTCCCTGAGTCTTTAATCGAAATAGACCAGCAGACTAAGTAAAAAAAACAACAAGCTTTTAACAATGGGATTAATTTAAAAAAAACTGAAACTTGCTCCAAAGAGATTGAACCATTTGAGAAACTTAATTACATTAACCTATTCAAACAAACTCTTGTCTTTTGAGAAAAAAAACAAAAAAACTTCACAGTCTCAATACAACAAATGCCCACAGGCAGCAAAACACAAAACCACCCTTCTGTCTTTGTTTAAGTGCAGTGTGGGGGGTCTACAAATAAACAGAATGATTTAAAGGAAGGTATGGGAACTGGAAAATACCTGACTGTAACTTCAGCACAATGATAATTCCCAACCATATAACAATCTAACATAGGCACCTTTACCTCAAATACAAACTGTTCATTTTCTATTAAACACACTCCAGTGTAAAAATGTAGCCTGGCTAA